CCCCAAAACCCCAAAACCCCAAAACCCCAAAACCCCTGGAGAAAACTAGACTATTGAAATCTGAATTATGTTACATAATTTAACAATTTTCAAGGAAAATGTTGAAACTCTTGGAAATGGGAAATAGGAATCTCATTAGGTTTCAGAAGAGAACCAGAGAATTAAGTCAATAGTTTATGAATTAAATCTCATAACTCCACAAGCTTTAGTATTGCTAAGGAAAGCACTATTATGAATGCTAAATTCGATAAACAAGTAAGCTACATTGTCAATCAGGCTTGAACAAGTATTTTTAAGTGCTTCTATTTTTAAAATCGTGCCAAATTATTTGAAAGCAATATTAGAAACAGAGCAAAGATGGTATGGGAAGAATTCTTGTTATTAAATCAAAAGCTTAAACGATGTCCTCTGGAACGTTGAAGTCCAAAATAATTGAGAAGATTCTTCCTGCAGCTCTGAACATTGTGAAACATTCGCCTTTAGAAAAGCTTTGTTGAATGTTTGTCCATTGAGTCGTAATTTCTTCGCTTTGGAAAACTCCTCTAGAGAGTGCTGTAATGAGTCCTTCGCGGGTTTGAACTGTGTTATCCAACCTTGTAAATAAAGTCGCAAATACGCAATAATTTTGCCATTGAGCATATGCTACAATAAGCCCGACAATGTTGTTAGTCCATCTTACGAAATTAGTTGGGATAAGGAGTGTAGCATTAACACTATTTACGACAAGTAAGAACTGGTCTTGTAGATTTGGGAAACGAGTTACACATCTTGAATTTGGGAAGTCAGGGTCTGACTCTGTTCCTGTGAAGAATCCTGTAACTGCACTCTGAACTGAGCAAAAGTCTAATGGCCAGGCATTCTATAATGATTGTTTAGTATACAAGAATCAGTAGGAGCAAGTACTAATGAAAATCATCTGTTGACTGAAGTGTAATAAACATACCAAAAATTTATGGAGATCAGAAATTGATCCTTATAGAAACATTCTATGCAAGAAAAATCTAGAATCAAATTAAATTAAGTGACGACTTATGTATTTGGATACTAACATTCGCTCTAAATCTCCTTAAAATGCAAAGAAATTTGGCTTACAACTGATTTTGGCTTAGTGAATTCAGGGTACTTGTCACTCTCTGTAGTACCATAAGCCTGAGCACAGATGACGAAAGCAAAGAAAATAATAGCAATTGTCTTCATTTTTATAAAATATTATAATATTAAGGAGAGGTGTCAATAAATACGTAATTGTCTGGGGTTTTGGGGTTTTGGGGTTTTGGGGTTTTGGGG